AAGAAACATGCATTTTTTTTTCAGGATGTTTAGTATACACTGTAATAAAAAATATGATACTTGAATGGGGACAGGATGTATCTTGGACGTTAATCAAAATCAAGGCAGAACATTTGCAAGCAGAGGTAATATCTCTTATTAAACAACTTATATATAAACATAAATAAATCAGAAGAGCATTCAGGCACTGCAGCCCTACTTAGTGTGCCTAAAGGCTTTGGTACTTTTTCCATCTATGGTGGCTGGCTTAATGAAAAGATATTATGTTGATCTGTAATCTCTGTGTTATCTGGGTCCTTAGTCAGTCACAGCCTCAGCAAAATACCAAGAGCACATGGAAGGCCACAAATGAAATAAATTGTAATTCATTTAAGTCTTCAGGTTACAATGAACAAATGAATTATTTTTTTTAAATAAGATAGCACACATTTTACCACAACTTTCATACAGGATAACTATTTCTGGAATGGTCTTTCCTTCATAAGCCTTGGATTTGTGAGTACTATGGTTTGCAACAACAAACCATACTTCTCAAGCATCTCTTTCAGCAGAAGAATCCCAGTGTTCAAGCATCACAGCCAGCGCTTGTCAGGGCACTATCTTCATCTCATGGAAGAAGAGTCATTAATGGGCTGATCAGGATATCTGCATCAATTTCTCAGTTTGTGTACCTACAAACAAAACTGGCAGTTTTGCTTTTATCCCAGTCCACTAATTTATAAATGTCAGATGTTGAAAACTGTGCTTAACTCTTCATTCAAGTGAAGAAATTCCGCTTAACAAAATCGGTAGGTTTTCATGAGTAAATGCCACATAAAAAACCAACGTTTGCTCGATAGAGTTCAAAGAACTGACTGGGCCAACCCATCACACCCCCTTCAGCCTCACCTACTCCTCCTGCATCCCCGTGCCCCCAGCACGGGGCTGGTTGGAGCCGCCCGAACCTGCCATCCCGGCGGAACACCACCGACCCCGGATGCCACCGGTCGGATCCACTGTGGGACCAGCTCTCCCACCGCAGCGCCCGCGAAGTCTCCTCATACACAACCAGAAGCTCAAGCACCTCTCCAGCGGTATTATTTCCATTCCCCATCCCCTGCTTCCTCCAGTAACCTTTGAAAAAAGCTGCCAAGCCAAGTGGGCAGAGCAATGGGACACTTGGGAATCGGTGGGCGCTGACTCTCGCAGCCCATGTTTGTACGATCAGCAGGGTAACGCCATGAATTACTTTTCCTAACCATAACGAAGACAGCAGGTGCAAACTTCAGAGATTATTTCATTCCAAAATTAAGCATGAAATTAGGAACTGTACGGTGCTGTTGAAAAGAGCTTCAACAGTGAAAGGTTGGTCTTCTTAAAATTGTTTTCTTATGGATTAGACATTTTTCCCTGTCTGTCCTGCAAAGACTCCTCTCACCACTGTACCTGCTCCATATGGGGTACGTTCCTAAGCTTCTCAATCCTGACATTATAACACTTTTTACATTGACCCTGTCCTTTATTTCATGTGCAGCACCAAATGAAGTCAAGAGAACATTGCAGAACAAGGCCCTGCACGCAGAAGAAAAACATTCAGCATCCAGCCTTACAGTTAATGTTTTCTATTTAAGGTTTACGGTGCAGCTACATTGGGTCAAGGCTCAAGCTGCAGTTCAAACTAGTACAGTCATAGTTTTCACCTGTCTTTCTTGAAAAGATGGCTCTGTGATAGGATAAATTTAACTTGTTTATTCAGTGGAAGCTGCCTGTGAAAGGAGCTTACAGAACCTGCATGTCTCGCAGAGTCATCATGAAAATTTTTAAGCCAAAGCACAAAACATATTTCTCTGTTCTTTGCCTAGCTGATTAATGATGGGAAAACAGATGGTGTTTGCTCATTTGTCAAATTAAACTAAACCCCCCAAACTACCACCAACAAAACACTCCTCCTGAGTGACTTGGAGGGTTGATCTTAACAACATTCTCATTAACACATCTCTCCAGAAAGCTCTAATTATCCAGCCACTGACTTTTTGGACTCTTGCCCACAACTGCTCACTCTTTCTGTCTCTTCATTGTCCCTTAAACGCCGTCTCAGCGTCACCGCCTTAACGTAACCATTCCTCGTCTCCCTCCTTGCCCCGCTATTAGTCTCTAATTGCACAGAGCCATGTCCCAGCTGTCCTCCATCCCCACCAGCGGTTCCCTGGACGGCTCTCAGTCCCCCACCCTGCTGCAGTCTCCTTGCTCCCAAAAGTGCCTTTTGCTGCCTTTTCTGGTTTTCCCCACTGAAGCTTCCTTCCCCACGAGTACCAACACCTCCTCCCCTTACCTGTCCGGACATTCCTCACTTCTCGCCCAGCTCCGACACCTGCAGCCCTGCTCTCCCATCGCATCCGAGATGCCCCGTGTTCCCCCTCCATCCCTCCCCACCGCTCTCCTGACTGGCTCCCTTTCAGGATGACCCCCCGCATTTCCCACGTCTGCACACAATGTGCCTGTATCACTAGAGACCCGGGAAGGGCTGGCAGGATGAGACACTCAGAAATGTCCAACTCTGGGACATTAAACAGTTACAGTATTTTCAATGCAGGTGCATATTCTAGCACTTCAAAGCTCAGACAAATAAAATGGAATAGCGCGTACATATTTTTAAAGGTGGCAACAATAACACACTGTAGGTTTTGTTCTTTGCTGTCAAAAAAAAAAAATAAAAAAAGAAAAGAAAATCTAACAGCCAGCCAACTCTCTTTGTTCACAGCCACCAGAGTTAATAATCCTCTGTTTCTTCTGTGATCATCAACAAGGAAATTGAGGGGAAAGCAAACTAACCGATGAACTTCAGATATTAAATTAATGTGATCTCCCTGAGAATAAGAACATGTTTCAAATAAAAGTAAAAATACCTTAAAAGCTTGCAGATAGTTATTATGCTCGAGAGGTACTGAAGAAAAGGGACTTATCTAAGCCTGGACATGCAGTTCCACTTATTTCATATGATTAATAGTAAACATATGATTAAACACTTTGCTGGATTTTAGCCAGGAAATTCAGCTCTGCAAAACCCTGAGCACTCTTTGACCTATATGAACACGTTCGCAAAACTTTCAAATGAAACTTCCTATTACTAACATTCTAATAAATGTCATAGTGGCGATAGCATATTACTCATAATTGGTACTTTCTTAAATTGAACTGCATCTTTATTAATTTAAAGTCAATTTCTATTAATGCAGTAGTTCCCCCCCCCCAAAAAAAAAAAAAAGAAAAAAAGGCAATAAAAATACTATCTAAGCAATCACATGAGTCATTGCAGGTTTATCTGAAGATCTTACAGTACTTTTCTTGTATATGACCCATGTTTTCAGCAAGACAAGACATCGACGTTTAAGTTTCATTGCAGATGCACTTAGCTGGGCAAGGAGTGAGGGAAGGAAGGAATCCTCCATCCCCCTGTGCATGACCCAAAGGGGTGTGTGCTCCAGGCCCCTCGGGGTATCAGCTGTGTCACCTCCCCGTGTCCCCTCCCTGCCTCTACCCTGTGGCTGTGAGATGAGCAAGAAAGAGAGGGTTATGTTCCTTCAAAAAACAAAGAAACGGCAAAAAAACGCCATGGAACTGGTCAATAAATAACAGCATTTTCTAGCAGATGATCAGATGTGATTCATCTGAGAGAAGGCAGGCATTTACATCGGATCGCCGGCACTGGCGGGCTGAGTGGTCAGCAAGAGGAGGAGGAGGCGGCTAAAAGCATTTCTGTGCTGTAGCTCTTCTAAAATACGAAACTGAAATAGGTCAGCTCAACAGCACTTTGCAGGTGCAGCTTCTCCCTTTTGTGGTTATCAAGAACGCTGTGAGGAGGCACGATCAGAGGTGGACACCCAGATTTAAATGCCGTGAAATAAATTGATTGTGTTACTTGCTTTTTCCGTTGTGATCAATCGGGTGCAGGTGTTTTCCTCTGATACCTGCCTATACCTCACTACTTCTAAATGCATCTGTATGAACGATGACGTTGACCCAGACCTACTTACCCTTCACAGACATGAAAAGCAAGACAACCCACCGCAGGAACAAGAGAAACTTACAAAGCCGGGCAACCTCAAACTGAACCTGATTACAACCAAATTTTGCAAACAGCCAACACATCACCCAAAAATGCACCCCAAAGAACTACAGCCATGCAAGATGGCGTTAAGCCTTTGCACTCTGGAACCCACCCTGTCCCAGCGCCCAGCCCACACCCCCCCAGCACAGCTCGGGGGGGAAACTTTGTCAGAGGGGAAAAATCTGGTAATGCACACAGAGAAACCTAACCTTTCGATCTAAACAGAAAGCACGCTTTTTCAAAGGAGTGTATAAAAATGCACTTAAACAATAAATAAAAGCAAACAAGAGCCACTACATTATGTATCAGGTTTTTATACCAAACTGCTTCTTCCCTATCCGACAGAATCAGGAGGAACAAGCTATACATGACAACTGCTCGTCACATCATTCAATAATGAGGAGAAGGAAAGTAAATACTTCTATGGAATCACAGTAGCAATACACAAATAGGCATAAAAAGATCACTAAAATATGCTCAATCTTTCACTTCTCCTTCTGGCACTTAATAAACATTCAGACATTACTTGTAAATCTAAAAAGTTAAAAATCCCCATGTCATTTATACCGAAGGCATCATAAGTATAAACTGTTAAGTATATAAACATAACCTTTACACCTAACTGTTTACTTTAAACTATATAATGTGTTTTACAAGCAGTAATATACTACATCCCCTCCTAAAAATTAAAACAATTGTAGCAAAATAGAATTTCTAAAATATCAAGTATTATGAAGCACTCTGCTGTAAATGTCTTTTCAAAATGCAAATGCAAAAAAAAAATCATTAGCATGAGATCAGTCACATTTCTGACAATGCAGAGCTTCTTATCCTACTCAATTCTGTATGTTTCAATGCTTTAACATGACACTAAAAATAGAATTCAATCTGAAGACAATCTTTACGGCCACAGTACATTTTTATTTCACAACAATCGTCCTTCATTGGTGAATTTCACCAGCATTCTGCTTTCTGGCCACAACTACTCTGCTGCTTGTGAGTCGCTTTGTTTTTCCATTGCTAAATCACCACTGCTTTTGTATTTATCAGCAAAATAATCAGAGTCGAAGCTTACAGACAAATCTGGAGGACTCACATAAACATTTCCATTGTCTATGGTGACTTTATGAATCCTTTGTTTAACTCCTTTTGATTGCCACTGTGGTGTTGGTGAGGGCTCCAAAGGGTTTATTCCTTCATATAATCCTTCTCCTGTTTCCAAAGTAATTTTATACTTATGCCAAGGACAAATAATACATGCTTGACCATTGATATCCTGCAAAGAAGAAGAAGAATTAAAAATAGCAAGTCATCGGCTTCTGATTGTTCTCCTGGAAGAATCTCTAGGCCAAAAGACATGTCTGGTGATTTGGCTGTATAGCTGTATGCCATTTTACATATATATATCTGGTTTTTTCAATGTTACATTGAGATAACTATTAAAAAAAATGCATTAGAGATTTCAAATGATTCCATGCCCCTACAGTATTTTTATTTTGCTTGCATACCTCTATTTCTCCAAGACGTAAAGGGCCTCCTTCATCTGAAACATGGTAGAACACAGTATTACTTTATGCAACAGATTTTGTGCTTAATTATTGCAACATTGAGATTGTATGTGCAAATATCTTACGGTAGCAGCGAGAGTCCATAGCATGAAATTTCCCTTCATGGTAGAAAACAACAACTTCTCTGCCATTGACTTTGGCTGTTATTCTTTGGGACCTCTTTATGTCATCTTCTTTGCCAATTAATATAAGACCATCTGGGTCCATTTCAACAGTTCCTGTGCTTGAGCTGTGCAAATCCACATCCTTAAAACACAAAAAATTCAAAAAGCCACCTTACGAAAGAAGTTTTGTTTGAATTTCTACATGTAGAATAGGTGTCTCGGTCCCTGAGAAAACCTCAGCCCATTTAGACATGAAGTGAAAGGAGCAAAAGTTTCAGTAAAAGGCTATCAACATGCACACGAAGCAAAGCAGAGGAGTTTGGTGATAATGTTTGGCCAACACGTTCAGTAACAGAACTAGGACTAGGAAAACCAACTGCTGCAAACCTGATACCTGAGGCCGAGGCGAGATAAATTCTAAATCACTATTCATTTACTCTGCACTTTAATCACCATATCCTCTGGAGAGCTGTTTGCAAAAAAATACAAGGGTGCTACTTGTAAAATACTCTTTGGCTATGCAATGGGTGAACAGTAGCATTTACATGTAAATCCAATACTGTTAAAATAATATTATGGCTAGAAATACAAACTGATGCAAGTTGATAAAAACCTGAAAATACCACCTGCAAAAGGGAAAAAATTGTTTATTGAGAAGCTGTATTCAACCTGGCCTTTTTAGCAAATGTGTCTGCCTTTCCTTCCTCCTCTTACACACTTCAAATGTCTAATAGCCTCTCCCTCTCCCAGCAGAGGACATAACTAGTTTTATCACAAAACCTGCCTTCCTATCAAACTTGCTTACAGCTATTGTGTTCCAGTTCCCTCCAAATTCCCAGTACAACCATACTACCCTCGCTTCCTCTGAAAAAACAGGCTAAAAACAGTCATGACCCACCATACCTTGGGTCCACGCCAGATCACAACAGCGATGAGAAAGCAGATGAAGAAATGGAGGCTCAGAATAATGAGATCCAGCATTGCTTCCCTTCGCTGCGCCTACGGCAACTGCCCTGCCTTGTTCGCACGTGTAACGGTGCGTGTCGCAGCCCCTCTTTACGTGCCAACGACAGCCAGCGGGGCTGGCCCCTATAGCACCATAGGCGGGATGTACGGAGGCTCAGCGTGGCAGGAGCCAGCTGATAAGGAGCGGGGACGTGCTGGGGCTGGCCTGATAACAGGAGGGAGCTCAGGGTTCCTCCTGCTGCCTTCCTCCCTGTGAGCACCGCCGACTCCTCCAAGCGGGATGGACCGAACAGGAACCTTGCTCAGAGTCACGCCTTGCGTTACGTGTTTATTGGGGATCAGCACCTGCGTGTTTCCTAACAAACCGCCGCACCGCGGAGAGCGGTGTAAATAATGGTGTGGCCTTTTCAAGGCAGTTGTTATCTATCTGGTTCGTACACAATCAGCCATAAGGACCGACTCTCCGCTTTCCAGTTTACAGGAACTTCCACCCAGTCTTACTTAGAAAGTGAAACGTCACTGTCACACTCACAGGACCATCCAATGAGGCATTTGTGCTTATTTTCTTTAGAAAATGAGCATAGCATGTAGCAAACTAACCACGAGAACCAGAGTAGGAAATCCTTGATGTTTTAGTGTCACCTTTTGGCTGACTCTGTGTATTAACTTCCCAAATGGGCCAAAATCTTAAAATGCACAAGTCTGTAGTTAGAAACACTCTTATGAAGACAGGTCTAAAAAATTGTGTATCTATATACTGCACATGTAGACATACAGACACACATATACCTACATACATCAACAAAGACACATATATATGTCCAGACCAGTACTGAAGTAACACTTGGCACCAAACCTCCAGTTCAATGATGACATTTCTACAGTCAGCCTGGATTTTGTATACATAAATTATCCAGGCATCCCAGTCTGAAACCTGGCTCAGACTGTCAGCATGCTGGGGACCCTTGACATGGTTTAACCTGGCCAGTAGCTAAAACAACCCCCCCCACCAAGGATGAGGGAGAGAATTGAAAAGAAAAAAAAAAAAAAAAAGTAAAACTCATGGGTTGAGGTAAAGACAGTTTAATAGACAGAAAAGGAACATGATTATAATGATAATGATAGTATAATAATAATAGTAATAATAATAGTAATAATGATGATGATGATGATGATAATGATAATAATAAACAACCAAAGAAGTGATGAACAGCACGATTTCTCACCACCTGATGCTCAGCTAGTTTCCGAGCTCCTCTGCCTCCCAGCTAACCCCTCCAGAGCATGGCGCCATATGGTATGGAATATCTCTTCAGTCAGTCTGGGTCAGCTGTCCCAGCCGTGTCCCCTCCCAGCTTCTTGCGTGCCCCCCACCTTCTCATTGGCAGGGGCGGGTGGGAGCTCATTGGCAGTTCAGGACGAGAAGCTGAAGCATCCTTGACTACTTGGCAGCAACTAAAATATTAGTGTGTTACCAACATTATTCTCATCCTCAGTCCAACACACAGCACTATAACCGCTGCTAGGAAGAAAATTAACTCTATCCCTGCCAAAACCAGGACAATCCTACGTGGCCCAAGCAATCAATAGCAAATGGCTTCATTTTACAGTCAAGGCTTCCATGCTTATCCACAACCAACTGCAGGTTAAGAACTGCTGTGGCACACCAGAGGTCCTCCAGAAGAAAGCCCTCAAGGAAATGTACACTTGTTAATATGTTAATGAGTTTGTTAAACACATGGTGGGAAAAGACTTTGTTCCCTTAGAAAAAGAGTGCAGCTAAGGGCTGCTCATCAGAAAGACCTGCAACTAGACCCTCTTACTGCAGGGATAATGTTGGCCACTTTCTCACCCGTGAAGTGGGTGTGTACCTGCAAAGTGTGGACAGAACATGAGATATTTCACCCTAGAGCAGCCCAGGAGGCAGTGAAAGCCTCAAAGGAGGCAGCAGTTTCTTGCCTAGAGGAGTTCCCTGAGTCTGGGATAGGACACAGCATAAGGGAAGGGCAATGGACCGCCGAGGTGGTTTTCACCCAATGTCACCTTCTCCTCTTCCAACTCAGCCCCCCGCTTGGTGCCACTTGCCTCCACAGCTGGAACCAGAGGATCAAAGACCTGCTTTCCTCTGCCTTACTTTAAACAGCACAGCCACTGCAGTTAAGCCCTGACCTGGGGACAGCTGGGCTGGAGAGCATCACCCGCCTATCAAAAGCACATTAAAATGGCAATTTGTCTGCCCGCCCTCTCACAGCCCTTTGGAAAGCATACTCTCTGTCACATTCTATATAAGGTGAAATAATAACCAGTTTTGCTTGGTCCTGATTATTCCAGGCTGATGACCATGTTTAAGCCTTCCATTCAAACAAGACGCTGAGTACAATGCTCCACAACACCCCCCCCACCCCCACCCCAGGATCCCACAACAGAATCCTGGGCTCCCAACTAGCTACCAATGGAAGTAAAAACACATCAGTCAAAAAGAAAAAATGTTATTCTCTCTCTCTCTCTCACACACACACTCTCTTAATTTAAGTTTGTTTTCTACTAGACTTTTCCTAGTGTTTTCTTGAGAGTTTGGCCACTTTGACGTTTTCCGAGTCACTGCGCACCGTGCTGGATGGAGACTTCCCTGCAGCCAAGTGCCATCTGGTGGGAACGGCAGTCAAAGGGGTTTGGGAGCAGCGAAAAGATTCTTTTTCCGGCTAGAAATACAGCTGAGTTTATGAGTCGTGGTAATTTATTGCTGTACCCCGCTCCAATCCCGTTTCGTCCTTTCGGGAAA